GGGCCCCCATTTGTTTACAAAAAAAGGGAAAATTTATTTGCCCCAATTTTGTTTGTAAAACAAAAATTTTACCCCCAAAACTTAAAATTATGCCAGTTTGTTCGTGAGAATAAAATTTTTTTTTCCCCTTTTTAAAAATTTTGAAAAGGGAAAAAAAAATTCCCCCCAAATTTAAAATTTTTTTGCCCATTTGATTGTACAAAAACGGGAAATTAAAGGGTCCCAGTTTAAATTGAAAGAAACCAAAAATTTTTATTGTCCCAGTTTGTTTTGTACAAAAAAGGGAAAACCTTATATTGCCCATTTGTTTTTACAAAAAACCAAATTATTTTTTCCCAGTTTTGGTTGTACAAAAAAGGGAAAATTAAAATTTGTCCCATTTGATTGAAACAAAAACCCCCCCAAATTATATTCCCATTTAAATTTACGGGAAAAAAAAAAAATTATAGGGTCCCAGTTTGTTGACAGAAAAAAAATTATATTGTCCCATTTAAATTTAACAGAAAAGAAATTTTTATTGTCCCAGTTTTGTTTGGGAAACGGGAAATAGCAAATTTTTTTGGTCCCATTTTGATTGTACAGAAATAGCAAAATTATTTTGGGTTCCATTTTTGATTGTAAAAGAAATGGCAAATTATTTTGGCCCATTTTGATTTAAAAAAGAAAAACAAATTATTTTGGGCCCATTTGATTTACAGAAAAAAAATTATATTTGTCCCATTTTTAAAATTTTTACGAAAAAAAAAATTATTTTCCCAATTTTGATTTCCCAGAAAAAAAAAATTTAAAATTTTGGTCCCATTTTTTGATTGTAAAAACAGCAAAATTTTTTTCAGGCTGATAGGGCTAGAAAGGGGGAGGTTGCCACCCTTTTTTCCCCCTTTCACCATTTTTAAAAATTTAATATCAAAAAAATGGTAGCAGTTTTTTTTTTCACCCAATAAACCCCATAAAAAAAAGTAAAAAATTTAAAAAAACCCCTTTTTTAAAAGAAAGGGGGCATTTTTTTTTCAAAGAAAAAATTTTCAAAAAAACAAATTCCCCCAACCCTGAAACTTTTTTAAAGGGCCCCGGCCATTTTTTTTTTTTACTCGAGATTTTTTCCTTTTAATTAAAAACCCAACAGATCAAAAAAAATAAGACCCTAAAAACTTTGGGGTCCGAAAATATCCTTTTTGAAACAAAAACTTTTCTGTTTTTTTTTCCCTTAAAATTCAAATTAAAAGTTTGCCTTTAATTTTCCCAGTTTAAAATTAAAAAATTTAAAATTTTGGCAATCAAACACAAGCAACCAAAAATTCCCCCTTTTTTTCCCGAACGAAAAAAATTGCTCATTTATTTAATAAAAATTTTTGGGCGAAACAAATTAAAAAATTAAAAAAAAGTTCTCCAAGAAAGTCGTCCCGTTTAAAATATTATGACGTAAAGATCAATTTATGATTTGAAAAAAATAAAATTTTGAAATTTTCAAATTCATTATGTTGGTGCAAAAATTTTCCAAACTAATTTTTTTATTGAAAACAAAAATAAAAAATTACATCTTTAAATTTTATTTAAAAGGTAGAAATTTAAAAGGGTTTAAAAAAAAAAAATATAATTTTGGGGAAAAAGTCCAATTTTAAAATGGGCTATTTTAAACCTTTATGTCAAAAATAAAATTTTCAGGCATTTTTGGGTTTTCGGGCAAAATTGGCCAAAAAGCGTTGCATGAAAAAAAAAAAGAAAATAATACCTTGGGCCCCTTTGATTGTATATAAAAAAAAAAATATACCCTTTCTTGCATTAAACATAAAGAAAAAATCAAAAGGGTTTTTACAGGGTTTTTTACAGCTTTTCAAAACCCGGATGTTGTTTTAAATTTTTTAGATGTTTATACTCTGTTTTTCCCCAAAGTTCCTTTTGCTTTCATTTCGTTTCTTTTAAAAACAATTTTCTGCAAAAAATTGGGTTTCCAGAAAGTTATCTGGGAAAATTTTTTAAAAAACAGCAAATCTCCCTCTGTAACCATAAAACACAAGTTGGTAAAAAAATGTTATAAACCAAAAAATCCTTTTTATTTTTACTATTAAAATTGGGAATTATGAAACAATTCAATGGGGGTTAATGTGAGTGAAAAATTCAAGTGTTTTCCTTTTTAAAATATTAAAGATTAAAATTTCCTAACAAGTTCCCCCAATTTTCCCGTGTAAACTTCCCCATAAGTTGTTTTCCACATTGTCATGTTAGCATCTTCCTTCTCACTTAGTTCTGAAGACAAAACAAGTTTTTTTATGTTTTATGTAAATTATTGTCCCCATGCTGGGAACCCGGGAAGTCCCGTTTAAACTAGAAAAATGCCAAATGTCATGGTGTGAATACCCGCCCTACCAAATTTTTTCCCGAAAACAACAGTTTGGGCATTCAGAGCCCTTTAAAAACAAAACCTTTCCCTTTCAAAAATTTTAGGGTAGTTAAACCAGTGCCCTTTTGGGAAGTTTGTATTTTTCTGTTTTTAAAATGGCAAAGATCAAAACGACCTTTACCTTTTTCCTATTTACCTTTAAAGGAACTGCCACTGCATGACTTGAATACCCCCCGCCCTTTCATGCGCTTTTTCCGGGGGCGTTTTTTTGATAATTATGAAAAATAAATTAAAAATGCTTTAAATGTGAAAATTCAAAACTCCCGTGGACAGGCATTCTTTTAAGGGATTTGAGGGTGATAAGCTTATTCAGGGAAAAGCCCCTGTGGGCCTTGACCTTTGACACATCACCTTTAAAAAAAAAAAGGGGTCATCTTTTTAGTCCCTTTCCCCAAATGTTGAAACCCAAAAAATACTTAAATAAGAAGCGGGGCAAACTTTTTGAACTTTAAAGGCCCCCCGTGACCTTGACCTTTGACCCCGTGATCAAAAAAACAAAAAGGGGTCACCAAAGGTAAAACCAAAAATCCCAAAGCCAAAAAAAGAAGACTGTGGGTCAAAGGATTTTTAGGTTAAATTGGGGTGACAAATTTTTGAAAATTTAAGCCCCCGTGACCTTGGGCCTTTGACTCTTGACCTTTTAAAAAACAATAGGGGTCACTAAATTTAAACATGACCAAACTCAATTCCAAAAATAAGACTGTTTTGGGCAAGGAATCTTTAGGGTTTTTGGGCGGGCAAGCTTTTTTTAGTCAAAAAACTCTGTGGGCCTTGACCTTTTTACCCAGTTTACCTAAAAACCAAAAAAGGGGTTTATCAATAATTTTTTGACTAACCTCCATGCCAAAATAAATTTTTTAAAGAAATTGTTTGGGGGGAAAACCTTTTTAAAGGGGAAATTATTAAGTTTAAAAAATTGGGCGGAAAAAAAAAGGAAAAAAACCCGAAAAAGGGCCGGCAAAGGACGGCCCAAAAAAATTGGGGGCGGCCCCATGGGGGGCAAGCCTGATTCCAAATATTAGCCCCTTAAAATTTTTTTTTTCCGGGGGATAAAAATTGGGGGAAAAAAGGGTTTTTCCTTATATTAAAAATACCTGGTCAAAAAAATGACTTTTAAATAAAAATACAAAAAAATTTAAATGCCTAAAAATTAAAAATAACATGTATTTATTACATTTTTGGATAAAAATTTTTATAAATTAATTACATTTTTAAAAAAAACCAGAAATTTTTCCCCGGGTTCCCCTTTTCCACCTGTTTTTAAAAAACCCTGGAACAGGGCCAAAATTTACCCAGGGCCTTTTTTTATTTGGGAACAAAATTGGAAAAAACCCCTTTTTAAAAAAATTTTTTCCATAATTTAAAAAAGGTTTTTTTTATAAACAAATAATTTTTTTGAAAAAAATTGATTTTAAACCCCCACCGGAAACCCTTTTTGGGCCCCCGGGAAATTTTAAAACCCCGGGTTTTAATTTTCAAACCCCTTGGGAAAAAACAAAAAAGAAAAATTTTCCTTTAAAAAAAAATTCACCCCTAAGGCTTCCTTGGGGTTTTTTTAAAGAAAGATTTTTTAAGGTTTTTACTAACATAAGTTAAAAAAATTAACCCCTTTTTTTCGGGGCCCGTTTTAACCGCCACTTTTTATTTGAAATTTTTTAGACACTTACTGAAAAATGTTTCATTGCCCTTAAAAAACTTTTAAAATTTTTAAATATTTAATTTTTAAAAAATTCCATAAAATTTAAAAAATCTGATTGGGGGTTTTTTTTAATTTTTGACCCACTTTTTTAAATTTTTTGAAAACAAACTTTGTAACACCCATTTTTTTAAAAATTTTTCTGTTATCTAACTTACCTTTTGGGTTTTTTTAAAGGGAAGGGTTTTTAATTTTTTTTGCTTAAAACCCCAATTTAAGGAAAAATCCCCAAAAAACCCCCGGGGTTTTGGGGCCAAATTTTAACCTCCAAGGGGGTTTTTTTTTAAAAACTTTGGGGGAACCCTAAAAAAAGTTTTCAATGGGTTAAATTAAACTTTAAACCCTTTTTACAATGGGGTTTTCCCAAAAGATTTTTTTAATTTTTTCTTTTAAAAAACAATTTAAGGGAAAAATTTTAATACCCCCGGGGCCGGGGCCAAATTTTGACCCCAAAAACTTTTATTTTTAAAAAAAAATTTTGTTAGAAAAAAAAACTGCCCAAAAAGCAAGGTTTTAATGGTAAAATATTTTGCTCTAAAGCCCTTTGGGAAAAAAAATTTTTTTAAGTTTTTAAATTTTAAAATAAAAAAATTAAGGGAAAATTAAACCCCGGGCCGGGGGAATTTTTGAACCCCCGGGTTTTTAATTTTTACAAACTTGGTAAAAAAACAACCTTTGAAGTTTGGTTTCAAACCCCCTAAAAACTTATTTACTTTTAAAGGTTTTTTTTAAAAAAAAAAAGAAAAAATTTTTTAAAATTTTTTTACTAAAATTTTAATTATTGGAAAAATAATTTTTCCCCCCGGGCGGGGCCCCTTTTAAACCCCAAAAGGGTTTTTTTTGAAAAAAACTTTTTTAAGAAAAAAAAAATTTTTTTTAAACCAAATATTTTTAAAAGTGAACTGGTACATGGAACCTGGATTTAAGTCACCAATAACTTGAGAGGTATTTGGTACATAAGGTATACCAGCTTGCCAATACTCAAGACCAACTTCATTTAACTCTATGGTGTAACCCTGAAAAACAAAGTTTAACATACAGTAGGAAGTATAATTTTATAATCTTAATTACCCAAGTTTTCTACAATCAGTCAAAATGTCAAACTTACCTGATGAATTACATATAATCTATTATCTCTATTTTTCCTAATCAAACTCAAATGCGTAGAATTTGGAAATTAATATTTTTCATTTAATATATATGCATGTATATATATATAAACCTGAATGATGATGTCAGTCGACCTATTTCAAATGACACTGCTCTAAGAATACTCACCGAAAATAATGAAATAATGTTATAACAAAATATATATAAAACATGTTGCATAAAAAAACAAGAGCTGTCACAGGAGACAGCGAAGGTCAACTAATAAAATACTAGACACAGTAAGGAAGACAAAACTATGAAAGAAAAATTAATTATGTATAATTAAGTATGTATTAAGTTAAAGTAAAAAAATAACATTTGTTAACATAAATTCCAAGTTCAAGGGGAAATAACTCTGGAAATAGTCAAGCCAGAGTTATGAACCTTGTCACACAACATGTGCGTAATGATAAGAAATATATATTTGAAGTTTGAAGTAGATACCCTAAAAAGTAAAAAACTTATAATATTTCTTAAAGAAAATCCTAAGTTCAAAGAAAGATAAATCTGAAAATATTGCTTCAAGAGTTATAAACCTTGTGACATAAGATGTAATTGATGATAAGGAATATGTATTTTAAGTTTGAGGTAGATACCTTTAACACTAAAGAAGTTATAGTAAAAAATAACATTTTTCAAGTAAAAAAAATCTATGTTTATGGGGAGATAATTCTTGCAATATTGGTGCTAGAGTTATGAACCTTGTCACATAAAATGTGGTTGATGATAAGGAACATAATTATATTTGAAGTATGAAGTTGACCCCTTAAGAAATAAAAAAGTTATAGTGAAAAATATTTTACTGCACCAAAACTTTAATCTGAAATCTGGACGCGGACACGGACGCCAGGGCAAGTAGGACAGCTCTCCATATACTTTGTATAGTCGAGCTAAAAATGATACAAATTCTGGAATTTTTTGTATCAAAGCAGTAAAAGGTCCTTTAATAACATACTGTATTATCTTCAAGAATAAAAAATGTTAAAGTCAGGTAATATTTGAAAGTTGCTAGAATGGAAATTGTATTTCGAATGCAAACATAAATAGATACAAACAACATTTTCTAAAACTTAGTTAAAACCTGGTCACACTAAAATCAAGTAAACATGGCTTCTTAATGAATTCAAGATGTCTAGAAATTATGTAATTAAGTAGATACAACCATTTCCTTAATACTGCCTTATTTATCAATACTGGTCGGAGAGATAACTCCGACGCATAGATAACCCCGACACTTGATAAATACAAGCAATTATCATAGTATTGCAAGCAATCCATAAGTCCCCTACCGGTTAGAACCCCAGCAACATTCTGATGGGCCATTGGCCATTCAATTTTACCAGTGATATTTTCATATTGTCATATTATTACGATGTGGGATTTTAAAGTAAATCCTATAAGGAATGAAGAAGTTGGAGTGAAAAATACCAATTTCTTGAAAAAATCTAAGTTCAAGGGGGACATAATTCTGGAAATAGTCTTGCTAGAGTACTTAACCTTCTCAAAAACGTTGAGTGATAATTAGAAACATATATATGAAGTTTGAAGTAGATACATTAGGAAATAAAGAAGTTATTTAAAAAAGACAACATTTTTTTCATAAAAATTCTTAGTTCAAGGGAGGTAATACTGATAATTTTTGTGCTAGAGTTGTAAACCTTGTCACATATGTTGTGGTTGATGACCAGAATGTTATATTTAAAGTTTGAAGTAAACACCTTAAGAAATAAAGAACTTATAGTGAAAAAGCAGAAAAATTTAAATCAGAAATCTTGAAATTCAGGCTATTTGTTGCCATAGCAACCAGATTTTTCAACATAGGAAGAAAAGAAAAAGATGTGCATAATTTCCAGACTGCCATCTTCCCATATTTGAAGTTTCATAAAAATATTTTCAGTACTTTTTGAGTTATCACTGGGTCCAGTTTATGTGTTAAAATGCCATATTTTCAGACTATTTGTTGGCCATAGCAACCAGAATTTTCAACATAGGAAGAAAAGAAAAAGATGTGCATAATCTCCAGACTGCCATCTTCCCATATTTGAAGTTTCATAAAAATATTTTCAGTACTTTTAGAGTTATCATTGGATCCAGTTTATGTGTTAAATTTGCCATATTTTCAGACTATTTGTTGCCATAGCAACCAGAATTTTCAACATAGGAAGAAAAAAAGAAGACGTGCATAATCTCTATACTGCCATCTATCCATATGTCAAGTTTCATAAAATTATTTTCAGTACTTTTTGCGTTATCGCGGGATCCAGATTTGTGGACGGACGGACTAACAGACTGACAGACAGACAGACAGACAGACGGACGGCGGGTAAACCTAAAGTCCCCTCCGGTTAAACCGTTAGGGGACTAATAATTGTTTTAGCTTTGTTTTTCAACAAATAAGCACATGATCACCTAACAGTATAGGAACAGGACAGAATGTGATGATTTGTTATAATTTGGTAGACTTTTTAATGTTTTTCAAATAACCTAAACTTTTTGTAGGCAAAAACTGCTTCAAAACGTTCTTTTTACTAAATTACAGTAAGGTAGTTAGAAATGTATTGACCACAGGCCACTGACTTGGGAAAGATTTTTGAAAAATTGTTTAAATATTTACAAAAAATAGATAAACCATATAAGATGTAAAAATAAATTATTGATGCTGATTTTCCAGTCATTTTTTACTTAAAAATTTAAGTGTCGACTTTATCTTCTGTTGTGGGGTAAAAAGACCATGTTTTGTATACCTCATTCAAGACCTTAAAGAAGTACCAGATTCCATTTTCATACATAGTTTTTGTAAAGTCTTTGAACTGAACTTTGTTTAGGTGGTTCAATATTTAAAATATACTGGAAGATAATTAAAATATTGCAAAAAATATGTGATTTAGTGTCGGAGTTATCTCTCCAACCAGGAGAGTCTTCATATTTTCAATATCTGCTTTTTGAAATCATAATTTTCAAAATTATGTCATTTAACATTAGCATAATGCATCATTTTATATATATTCAACTGTAGCCATTATGAAAATAAGTACATACAAGGGAATAATTCAAAAATTATTTAAGAAAAGTTTATGGCTCTTTTGCTGTGCACTCCCTCTCACTGTAATATATTTATATTTTAAGTTTCACTGGAATCAGAGTTATTCTGTGGACAAGGAAAATACAGAACATGTTCAGCTTTGACCTCTTAGTGTCACCTTGACCATGGAGGTCCTCACATGTTGCACAGGACCCTTTCAGACTAGATGTGAAGTGTGACAGACAGGCAGACAGACTGGTCTACTTAGCCCATTTCTATATCTCTTTTTTCTTTGAAAAGGCAAGGACAATAACCTCAACCTGTATCTTATGATTATACACTTGTGAGCAAAATATTTTTACAATCTATTGCCTCATCTTGGTCCAAACTCTAGTTCACTACCCCACTATTTTTCTATTTTTAGCAACAGTGACCTTGATTTGAGGAGGTCTAAACACAATTCAACAGTCCACAAAAGCTTGGTATTAAACTTAGTTTTATTACACTATCTCATTCCTAACTCTAGATTTAGGAAACCATATTTCTAATTTCAGTAAAACTGACCTTGGCCTTTGACGAAACTTCTGATAAAACCGCTCAAATGTCTCTAACAAAGTCAAATCTCTCTGGTATATCTAATAACTTCAAACATCTCACCTGTATTTGTCCAGTTGGCATGGTAGCTGGTGGCTGCCACTCAAGATGTACTGATGTTCCTACTTGGGTTTTCACCTCTGGTTTACAGGGAGGATCAGGACGGTCAAGTACGCTTAATGTTGCCTTGGTTACAACACCTCCTATATCACTATTAGCAACACATGTGTATTCTCCACTGTCAGCTATTGTAACTTGAGATATCTGAAATGGCATTAAGTAAACATAGATCTCAAAATTATTTGTCTTACTGGAAAGGAGACATTCTACAATTTTATTGCATTTGTATTTATAAATGGATTAACTTCATATTTAGAGACAACATATTTTAGGTCAGGACCTTCATATATATATCAAACTCAAATTGACCTTGATTCATGTATGACCTTAACCTTGAAGGTCAAATTATATTCACTGATTATATGATATACATATAAGGGGAACATATTCATATAAAAAAATCATGATCCTCTGGGCAGGGCCATTGTTGACTTTGTAGGAAGTCCATTTGATGATGTTTCAGCCCAAATATCATAGCTCTATCACTTGGGGTTCTAGTGCAGAAGATTTTTGGAGATATTACTATATATGTTTAAGGAAAACTTATGACCCAAGGCCAAGGCAAATATTGAACCCATGGTCATAATTTGAACATTCGCAATTAAGACTCATTATTAGACATTAATTTTATGAATGAAAATCAAGGTTTGTCTTGTCTACTAGAAGGTCTTGTGCCAAGGGTTGGTGTAGCGAATTATGAAGGCAATACACCATGAACTTAAAAAGTTATGATCAAGGTTAAAGTTTGTGAGACTAACATGACTGTAACAATACCTCTATTTTTTTATTAAACAAGAGGGCCATGATGGCCCTGAGGTCACTCACCTGTATATAGCTCCCCACACACACACACACATAAGAAGATGTTTCATGCTAAACATCTAAGCTCTAGCTCATTGGGCTTTTTAAAAGAAGATTTTTTTAAGTTTTTACTATACACATATAGTTAAAAACAATGATACCCCTGGGGCGGGGCCAGTTTTGACCCCAGGGCTTTTATTTGAACAAACTTTGTAGACACTAACTAGAAGATGTTTCATGCTTAATATCTAAACTCTAGCTATTTGGGTTTTTTCAAAGAAGATTTTAAGTTTTTGCTATACACATATAAGGAAAATCAATGACCCCCGGGGCGGGGCCAAATTTGACCCCAGGGCTTTTATTTGAACAAACTTTGTAGACACTCACTAGAAGATGTTTCATGCTTAATATCTAAACTCTAGCTATTTGGGTTTTTTCAAAGAAGATTTTTTAAGTTTTTGCTATACACATATAAGGAAAATCAATGACCCCCGGGGCGGGGCCAATTTTGACCCCAGGGCTTTGATTTGAACAAACTTGGTAGACACCTATTAGAACATGTTTGATGCTAAATATCTTAACTCTAGCTCTTTGAGTTCTTTAAAAGAAGATTTTTTAAGTTTTTACTATATGCATATAGGGAAAATCAATGACCCCCTGGGGCGGGGCCAATTTTGACCCCAGGGCTTTTATTTGAACAAACTTGGTAGACACCCATAAGAAGATGTTTCATGCTAATCATCTAAGCTGTAGCTCATTGGGCTTTTTAAAAGAAGATTTTTTAAGTTTTTACTATACACATATAGTTATAAACAATGACACCCCTGGGGCGGGGCCAGTTTTGACCCCAGGGCTTTTATTTGAACAAACTTTGTAGACACTTACAAGAAGATGTTTCATGCTTAATATCTAAACTCTAGCTATTTGGGTTTTTTCAAAAAAGATTTTAAGTTTTTGCTAGACACATATAAGGAAAATCAATGACCCCCGGGGCGGGGCCAATGTTGACCCTAGGTCTTTTATTTGAACAAACTTTGTAGACACTCACTAGAAGATGTTTCATGCTTAATATCTAAACTCTAGCTATTTGGGTTTTTTCAAAGAAGATTTTTTAAGTTTTTGCTATACACATATAAGGAAAATCAATGACCCCAGGGGCGGGGCCAATTTTGACCCCAGGGCTTTTATTTGTACAAACTTGGTAGACACCTATTAGAACATGTTTGATGCTAAATATCTTAACTCTAGCTCTTTGAGTTCTTTAAAAGAAGATTTTTTAAGTTTTTACTATATGCATATAGGGAAAATCAATGACCCCCTGGGGCGGGGCCAATTTTGACCCCAGAGCTTTTATTTGAACAAACTTGGTAGACACCCATAAGAAGATGTTTCATGCTAATCATCTAAGCTGTAGCTCATTGGGCTTTTAAAAAGAAGACTTTTTTAAGTTTTTACTATACACATATAGTTAAAAACAATGACACCCCTGGGGCGGGGCCAGTTTTGACCCCAGGGCTTTTATTTGAACAAACTTTGTAGACACTTACAAGAAGATGTTTCATGTTTAATATCTAAACTCTAGCTATTTGGGTTTTTTCAAAAAAGATTTTAAGTTTTTGCTAGACACATATAAGGAAAATCAATGACCCCCGGGGCGGGGCCAATGTTGACCCTAGGTCTTTTATTTGAACAAATTTTGTAGACACTCACTAGAAGATGTTTCATGCTTAATATCTAAACTCTAGCTATTTGGGTTTTTTCAAAGAAGATTTTTTAAGTTTTTGCTATACACATATAAGGAAAATCAATGACCCCCGGGGCAGGGCCAATTTTGACCCCAGGGCTTTTATTTGAACAAACTTGGTAGACACCTATCAGAACATGTTTGATGCTAAATATCTTAGCTCTAGCTCTTTGAGTTCTTTAAAAGAAGATTTTTTAAGTTTTAACTATATGCATATAGGGAAAATCAATGACCCCCTGGGGCGGGGCCAATTTTGACCCCAGGGCTTTTATTTGAACAAACTTGGTAGACACTCATTAGAACATGTTTCATGCTAAATATCTTAGCTCTAGCTCTTTGGGTTCTTTAAAAGAAGATATTTAAAGTTTTTTCTTTCGGTTGCCATGGCAACCCAAGTTCTGCATGGAATTAAATTCTTTGAACAATTTTTAAAGGTGACCACCAAAGGAACATTCCTGTGAAGTTTGGATGAAATTGGCCTTGTGGTTTATGAGGAGATGTCATTTAAAGTAAAAGTTTACGGACGGACGACGGGCGACCGCCGGACGAAAAGCGATCACAAAAGCTCACCCTGTCACTTTGTGACAGGTGAGCTAAAAAAACAACAACAAAAAAACAGTCAAGCTAAAAATTACAAATTTACAAGCACAGTGTTATTCATGTATGATCATGGTAAAGTTTTATTAAATATGACTAGAGGCATGTAAACATTATTAACAATAAAAGTCACCCAACATAGTACATGAACGTAACCAGTATCTGGCATTGGTAGTACTTGTTTTACAGTAGGGAATTTACCTGAAGTGTAACAACACCATCTTCTCTGTAAGATATCACAGTTCTTTGGTCAGGAAGGACTGGTATTTTTTTGTTTAAAACCCCCCATTTTGTTTCCCCCCGTGGGTTTTCTACCCCCCCCCAATATTCCCTCCCCCAGGTAAACCCCACCCCCCCCCCCAAAATCCCCCCCTGCCTGAACTGCAATTTTTAAATGGGGGTGTGAAAACTTTTGGCGAAACCCCCTTTCAAACATAAAATTCTTTGGTTTGCCCATCTAAAAAACCCAATAAAAAGTTTCTATTTTTGTAAGGACAAATTTAAAAAGGAAATTTGAAACAAACAAGACCATATTAAAACAAAATGTTTTTTCCCCCTGCCGGAAAAAAATTTTACCCAAAGGTTTTTTATTTCGTATTTTTTTAACTTGGTGGGGAGAAAATTTTTTTTAAAAGCTCTTTATTTATGGTCATGCTAAGTACAATAAAGCTTGCAAAATTATATTAACGTTATTTTTCATTCACGTCAATCTGATAAAGGGGAATAACTTTAAAAGTAGAAGGCAGCGTTATTGTTTTAACAACCCCTTTTCCTTCCCATGCCAAAAGTTTAAAAAAAATCATTTCAAGTAGTTTTTTTGGAGTTTTTGTTTCCGGAAAAAAATGGAAACAATGCATGGATGCACAGACTGAGACCATTTTAATCATTCTATAGATTATAAAGGTTTCTATAAATAAACACAAAAAAACAACAAAATAAATGCTTTCCATAAATAAAGCAAACAGTGAAAAAAATGAAAAGTGCATTTATTATACTTTTTTGGCAATTGCCTAACTACTAGTATAATTATGTAAAAAATATTCTTTGTTATGTGTAAATAAAAAAAACAACATATTAATAATGCTAGAGAATAATAATATATTTTCCTGTCTGACCGGCGAAGTGAAGACTCCGTCAGAACCTGGAAGATCTCCATCAGTCTTAACATATTTTATGTTCATTGTGGACTATATAAAGGGAATGAAATTAGAAACCAGAGTTCAATTGAGAGAAAATTGAAATAAAATAAAATAATTGGATTTATTAAACAGAGAAAGTTGCAAGAAATTATTGTGTTTTACTTAATTAAAGCAAACTTCAATGTGGCAATGAAAATGAAAGCTACAGTCCTAAATTGAAAGAAATAAAATTCCGCCGCAGGGTCAATTTTTTTAAGGTCATGATTTGAATAAACATGATTGAATATTACAAAACCAAATACCTTAGCTCTAGGCCTTGTTCTTTTAGAGAAAGACTAGTTGTAGGTCAACTGTTACCAAATCTACATCCTTTATAGTGTAAATTTAACAAAAAAAAGTCACTGGTAGCTATAAAAAAATTTGTTTCTATGGAAGTTACTGATTGCTTAGGAAGGACAATGGTTGCTATGGAAACTATCAGCTCCTATGCAAATTTAATGATTGCTAATGAAGTCACTGGTCAATAGGAAAGTCAATGGTTGTTTTGGAAATCACAGACTGCTAATTCAGTTTTGATTCCAGGTCTATAATTTGAATAAATTTTAGTGATCCACAAGACTACATATATTTTTTTGGTCACTATAATTTATATAAGGAAAAATGTATGGCCCATGAGGCCAGACAATTTTCGACTCTAGGGTCATAATTTAGACAACCTTAGTAGCAGTCCACTAGACGGTGTTATACCAAATAACATATCTTATATAAATTGCTTTTGTGGTTTCTGGTGATGATTATTTTAGTTTTTAGGGTCGTCTAGAAAAGTTCATATCCTACTTTATCACATACCCGTGCAGTTAAGATTTTCACATTACATTTATAGTATGAATTTTGAAATTGATGAGATAATATAAAAAGAACGTTAGAAGAAAACAATGGTTTATAATTGCATTATATAATAATTATGAACAGATGGTTTTTGAGATAATTTTACTTTCATTTATATACAGTTTATTTCATTTTTTTTCATCCTGTCCTCCAAAGTGTCCCCAGCAAGATAACCTAAACGAAAAGTATATACGAAAAACAAATTAGGTCTTCCCATGGATAGTTATTGAAGAAAGAGTAAAAAAGTATTATATAAAAGTATTATGTTATGTGTAGTTCACATAATTATATGGTAGGTATATTTATAAACACTGTGGACAAGGATTATCTCAATTAAAATCCCGGGTGTAGATTTTCCGAGGTTTATGAAAAAAAACATGGAAACTGCTTCAAAAACCTTGGAAATAAACCAGTTTTACAAGGTTTTTTTTTTAATTCCGAGGTTTTTATTAAAACCTTGGAAACTTTATCCAAGGTTTTTGTATAAAAATCCTTGGAAATAAAGAAAACCTTGGAAACTACCTCGGAATTAAACACTCTGCCAAAAATCAGCTCGGAAAAAAGCTTGGGAAATAAAAAAACTTTGTCATTTTTTTGCTCGGAAAAGAACTTAGAAAATTTACGTAAAATTTGTTGGAAAACACTTTGCCAATATTTAGCTTGGAAATGACCTCGGATAATTGAACTTAACTAAATTTCATCTCGGAAAATATTAAGACATAATCATGATTTTAACTTATAATGGGCATCAAAAGCAATAATCAACAGTTAAAGCAAACTAAGATAACAACCTGACTGTAGATTGCCAATGGATATTTTTTAATCCATGGTCAGAGAAAACAATTGTCCAACAGCATGGAAAGGAGAGATTTGGTCCAGGGAATCAATTTTTAGTATGGACATTGTCAATGGCCAACTTCCTTTTCAATAAATTTGTACTTTAAATCTTCTGAAGCCATTTTTTGGGGAGGAATCAATTAAAAAAATTTAAGTGTGAAAACATGGAAAAGTTAATACAATGTAAATTCCTTGTTGCCATAAAATACCTTTTATTAATGGCTATAAGGTATTGTAACCTAGATAAAGATTATTCAAATAACTGATGATCAGAAAGACTTGAAAATTTTATTTTTTTTTTTATATATATTTTTTTTTTATTTATAAATGTTACTAGATACTCTTCTCCATTTTTAAGAATAGGTAAAAGAGCAAAACTAATTATATTAAAAAGAAACAATCAGTGGTTTATGTCTATTAGTTTCCAAATGCATCAGTATTTTCCTGCAGTTTCTTTCTATATATATACTTAAACTTAGGGTTTCTTGAACAGCCCTGTTAAGCAACACTGATAAGAACTATTTCTTTAAATGTTTTATTTTATTAAAAATAGTACATATTTACTAAGCCAAGTCTGTGACATACATTCAGATTACAATTTACTTCTGCCATTAAATTTGTTGTACAAAAAAAACTTAAATAGTTATTAATTGTCCTTTTAAATAATTATGTACAATTGAATGTATGAAATATAATAACAGTATGCTTGTTAATTTCTTATAATTAGGATAAATAAATACTGCATCCACTAAGATTTCACACACAGGGAATATAACACACTGATCAGATAAAACTAATGGCACCCAGGTGGTTCCCCTTTATCTTATGCATGAATCAATCTTCTCATTGAGCATTCTGGGATAGACCAGATTGTTCCATGTGATTATTCAGGGGGAATCTGGGTTTTTTTACAATCCAAAACAGTCTAAAATGACACTGCAACTGTGTGATTCTCTTTCAAGAACTTATTATAATTTTCAAGTTTTACTTTTATTTATCATTTGAATATATTTTTGTACCTTCAAATAAATGTAAAAAAAAAAATGGAAAAAAAATGATGGCTTTGATATTTTGGGATCACCCCTGTTTCACATTATGATTGCCCCTTCAGTTTATACTGTTGAAAAATTTTTGATTATCTCAAACATTAATGGGTCAAGTGGTTAAGTTGGAAATAGTGCAAACCTGGAATTTATTTTAAGCAATGTTGGAGATATCTTGTTTTATTAATGTTAGGGGAGCATATTTTGGAAATTTCAAAGAAAACCCTTTATCTAAGTGTGACAAGATTCAGGAAATGTTTGGTTGTTGTAATTGAACCTAAAGATCAATGACCTGGGAACAGGAAAGATAAACAAAAGAAACAAGATAGTTAAAATGTTCAGGTAAAATAATTTTAGATACATTTATGCAATAAAATCTGTTGTTGTTGTTTGTTTTTTTTCAAGTAAGTATTAAATACAAACTATTTTAGATCTATATTTTTAACCTTAATGTAAGCTAGTTTTAATACAATTGTTTAGAGGATATTTTATGAGTATAAATGCTATGTTTGCTCTATGATTGTATTGAACAAGATGAGTGCATTAAACTATGATGACATTATTTATAAACTTTCATCTTTCATCTATTATTTGAATCTACAAATTTTTAATTACAGAGTCAGCTTGTAAGCAAGTTTGCAGGACTGTTCCAAACTATCCAGCTTTGCTGTGTTTTATCATAGTATAAAGCAGAGGAATAATACTGGAATGTCATTGGCATTGGCACCTTCAAAGTCAAGTGATTAAGGAAGCCAACTGTAGACCAGGAAAGGCTTCAAGGAATATACTACAGTATGTTTTTTTTTTAAAACTAGGTTTTGAAAGTTTCAATTTGAAATTTGGATGAATGAAGGTTTCTGGAAACTGATTTTTTTATTGATACTTTGTTGGAAATGCTATAATGTTACATGATGACTCTCCAGCTTTACTGATGCAGATGTCACTTTGAGCAGACAGATATAATCAGTGTAGGCAATCAGAATCACCTTATGAAAAGCGTTATTTTTTGCAATATTTTTAGAGTGCTTTAGGTTGTAACATCCAGTATGACAAAATATAATCTAAAATAATAGTAACAGACATCGTTTCTTTTCTTAACATCGCAGAATTGTCACACTGGGCTTACCAAAGTTTTCTTTGAAATCCTAACACTTAAAGTACTGATGAAGAAAAAATAGAAATCAAAAATGAAAAAATTAAATTCACTATTTCAAAACAGTAGACAAACATTTAAAAGTAACTACAGAAAAGGTCATTTGAAAATATTAAAGCCTTCATTTTAAGCAAAGGTCTCAAACAACTTGTCATTCAAGTAGTTTTGGATCACTCAAAAGATGTATTTCTTTTCACAAAAGTGCTGATTTTTTTA